TGGAAATTCTTCTCAGTCGTCACTGTCCTATCTGGTATGGTTATGGTGGTAGGTTGAAATGGCTTGAGAGGTTCGCTTATGTAAACACCACCTCTATCCCTCACACCGCCATTCCTCTTCTCATGTATTGTACACTGCCAGCCGTCTGTCTACTAACTAACAAGTTTATTATTCCTCAGGTTGTTTATATCAAAACATCGCTTTTCTTTGTGTCTATATCTCTTTAGAATATTCTAATTCTTTTGGTTGCTTATTTATTGCAGATCAGTAACCTTGCCAGTATATGGTTCATTTCACTCTTCTGTCCATCTTTGCAACTGGTATTCTAGAGATGGATGGATGTTGTCGGAATTGATGATGGTGGAGAAACGAACATTTTTGGGTTATTGTGGTGTTCCAGCCCATCTTTTTGCTGTTTTCCAAGGTCTTCTGAAAGTACTTGCTGGAATTGACACAAACTTCACTGTCACCTCCAAGGCATCAGATGAAGACGGGGATTATGCTGAACTGTATATGTTCAAATGGACAACTCTGCTTATCCCACCACACTCTCTCATCATAAACTTGGTGGGAGTGGTTGCCGGAATCTCCTATGCCATTAACGGGTTATCATTCATGGGGTCCTCTATTTGGCAACCTATTCTTGCCTTCTGGGTGATCGTCCATCTCTATCCCTTCCTCAAAGTTTTGATGGGCGCCAGAACCGACACCCCACCATTGTCGTGGTTTGGTCCATTCTCCTTGCTTCCATTTTCTCATTATTATGGGTGCGGATTGATCCCTTTACCACCAGAGTTACGGTCCTGATGTCGAGCAATGTGGAATCAACTTTAGCCAAAACAACTGCGGAATTCAGAGTGCTGTTTTGGCCTCCCCACCTAAAAAGCTTGAGAGGTGGGAATCAGAAACCGCATGTTTTCCTTGTTTTTTAATGTCCTGTTTGTCTATGTGAATTCACATAATGTGCAGATTATAGGTGGTGAAAGCTAAACTAAAAAATCAATTGTTGTTCCATGAGTGAAACGTCATAGTTTTGGTATAACTTATGGATTACTGCTTGGAAGATTTGTTCATTTATATAGTAACTTATGGAGGTTACTGCTGAATATTTATTCATTCCAAGTTTATGTATTGCCAAATTGGGAAGCAATCTTGTAACTTATTTCTAAATCCAAAATTGAGCACAAATAGCAAGGATCAAAAACCTCAAGATTGGGCAACCATTACACATGATAGAATAAAACAAGATTAGAGGAAATTGGAAAACGGTGTGTATCATCTTTAGAGAGCGTTTGAATTATATAATATTTTATTATAACGGTATATTATATTAACGGGAAGAAAGATTATTGGTGCGACTAAATCAACTTTAGCAAGTGCATTAGTAGTGTTCAAGTAATAAAGTGATGAGTTTGAGTATTGTTTCACAGAGATCAAAGCGAATATTTGTAATTACTTAAAACTATTTACACGTTATTTGAGAAAACGAAATCTTAGAATGTAAAAGTAACGGATTAAAAATAACTAAATTAAACAAATAAATAATGTGATGAACTTTACAATATTAATAAAGTTAGGGTATAGATTTTCCCCTAATTATGTTTGACAATCACTCTTAATACCTGTTTGTGCTATGAATTGGTAGGATTCTTCTAAGGTCAATTATCCTTATTCAGGCATAATATTCAATTTAATACAAATCCCTATTCAGTTACTCTGAAATTGAGAAGCATAAATTCATCAATCCCTTATGACTAATTCGCCTTATTCGATTATGAATTAGATGGACCACAAATTAATCCTAGAATCTCTATTCGATTAATTCTAGTTTTAATATGTTGTGCAATGTTATCCCCATAAAACAATTATGAATATGAATTAAGCAATAAACCCTAACTTCTCTACTCGAAACATCATTAAGGTAATTGAACTAATCCAACATTCATAAAGCATTAAACCTAAACTCTTGTATAAATTCATAAACATAAATCTGGTATTAAGAATAAAAATTGTTCAAAACATAATTAGGGTTTCATCCTCCCCTAACAAAAGAGATTTACTCCATCCCAAGAAAAAAGAAAGAAAACATAATCAGACTTGAAAATAAATAAAAATCAAACTCTTAAATCTGATCTTCAGTCTTCAAGCCCCAAGAATGCGTCTTCTCCACTAAAAAATATGCAAAATTTGTCCTTTGACAACTGATCCCAATTATACTTAAATACCCAAAAGAGTCCTAAGTAAAAAAAAGAAAGAAAAACTGATAAAAATGCCTTAATAATTTCCGCCACAATCCTGGCCGTGGCCAAATTTAAGTCACCACAGCCTAGGCCGTGGTGTTTCCTGGTCTCTTCATTTTCTCTTTGTTCCACCACCATGGCCATGGTGAACCACCAAGACATGGTCGTGGCCTTCAAGAATGTTAGGTAATCTCAACTTCTTCAAGCTTTAAGTCCCAATTTCATTCCAATACTCCAATCTATTCAATCAAAACCCAAAAAAAACATAAAAGTTATCCAAATCAATAGGTAACCATTCATATCTCAAACTTAACAAAAACAAACATAAAAACAAAAGAAACAAATGAGAAGTTAACTAAACTAACATCAAAACAACCCTAAAAACACTCAAATTATGCAACTTATCAATTACTTTAAAGATTATTGGGAATATTTAAAAACTGTGTTTGGTCGGTTCAAATAAATTGGGGAATAATATGCTTGTTTGTTTTGGAGGATGAATGGGTGAATATGCTATATGGATTACTAAATTGTCCTCCTTTATAATATTATTTTTTTTAACCTCCAACATTTGAAATTTTACTAAAACACACCATTCATATAAAACTTTAATTTATAGTAAAATCACCCCCAACCACTCTAAACCATTGCTAGGAGTCGACGAAATGACACATGACTGGTCGTATATGGTCGGTCGTTCATCGGCAAAGCCGAAAATGGTCATGGATCACAAATCCATGGCTAGAAAATGGTCAAATCTATGGTCATTTCACGGCCAAAGATGTGGCTATGAAACAGCAGCAGAAACACCAGATCTGGCCGTTTTCCAAAAAGACGTTACCAGCGCACGATCAGTCAGATCCTGTCAGTCGTGCACCATTACGACAACTGACGCCAACGGTTGGTGGTGGTGAGTCATGCCGGCAGTGGTCTTGGGTAGCTGGGGGTTTTTTATTAACTTTTAAACTTTTTTTATGGCTGTAATATTTTAGCTAATTTCTTAAATGTAGGGGGGCTAGGTAATTGTTATTTAGTAGATATTTGAGAGCAATTTTGTCCAAAATGATTTTTAATTAAAGATAAAATGGGTAGAAAAATCATATTACCTTACTAATGTTTTAATAATACCTCTTAACAATAGGGGTGTTCAAAAAAATACAAAAACCGAACCGAACAGCTAACCGAACCGAAAAACTGGTTAACCGAAAAAATGGTTCGGTTACGGTTTGAAAAATTCAAAAAACCCAATTTTCGATTTGGGAGAAATTAGAAACGGTTAACCGAAAACCAGTTTTTCAAATATATATATATATTAAATTAATTAATAATAACCAAAACTAAAATAAATCCCTAATTCACTCAATCTAAAATCCCAACCCAAATTTTTTTTCTTAATTCCTAATGTATTGTATATATTTACAATTTAATTTAGGACAAAATTAAAAAAAAAAAAAAAAGGAAAAACCGGTTAACCGCTTTTTTTTAAACGGTTAACCGGTTTTTGGGTTAAAATTTTCCCTAAAACCGATTCGGTTTTGGTTTGAGAATTTTCCCGAACTAAAAATCTGATTCGGTTTAAAACCGATTAACCGCTTTTGAACACTCTTACTTAACAAGGTAATAAGATTATCCCTTACATTACCAACAATAAATACTATTTACAATAAAAAATTACTATAATATCTTATTATTTATAAACCAAACATAAAAATCTTATAAAATAAATAAAAATTACTCCCGTTATCTTCTATACACTTGTCCAAACGGCCGTTAAAGTTCAGAGAGTGGATGATCAGCCAAAGAAAGGTGTGACATACACCAATCATGAAAGAAACACGTGGCGGTTTGATGTCCTTTGCATGGAACTCGTAAACGTGTCAAGAAACAGTAGATAAACTAAGCATGGCATCATCAAACATATATGACACGTGTAGGCTGTGCCACAGCGGAGAACCTGGAGACTCGACACGTGGTTAAAGCAATTATATTTTACGTGGGAGAACGACATTTTCCCACGCAAGATTTGATGAAACCACACTTCCCCAAATTTCAAAATAACACTTTCACACCTTTCGTTAGATTTTATTAATATTTTCTGTTAATAGTTAATTAAAAATATTAAAATATTTTTAAATAGTTTATTTCTTAATTAGTTTATTATAAATTAAAATTTAGTTAATTCAAAATCTTTATTCGATTATCTATTAGTCCAAGTATAAAAATAAATTTTTTTCTTTGTTTATTTAATTAATTAGGAATATTAATTTTTTATGTTAATTATTAAAAATAAAAAACATTATAAATAATAGTGATGTGATATTGATGACATTATAAATAAATATTAAGATTTTTTAACTTTAAATAATTTTAGATTATTATTCTTAATTTTTTAAATGGGATTAACTATTTTTTTTTAATTTTAATATTTAAATTTTTGGTTCATTAAAAAATAATAAAAAATTTATAAAGTAAAATATTTAAAGGTATTTTTATTTTTTCAGTAAAATATTAATAGAAAATATAATAAAACCTAACAAGGGTGAGAAAGTCTCATTTTGAAACTTGAATACTTGATGGTGGAAATTGTTTTGTCAAACCTTGGGTGGGAAAATGTCGTTCTCCCTGTTTTATCGTAATCAACCGTTCCTGACTATCTCTATCTTCCTTTAAGAACCCTCTCGGCCCGCCGAACCCAAAACAAATCATATTCACGAATCTTTTGACATAAAAAAGAAAAACAAATTTTGAGAAGCTACGAAATTGATAGTAACTGTTTGTTTCCCGCGAAAAGAACAAGAAAAAACAATGGCTATTGCTGATACACCGATTCTCTCTCGATTAGATCGTTTAGAGAACATGGTAAGTCCTTTAAAGCTAGATCATAATCGACAGATCCTGTCCGTTGATTATACTGTGTTAATATAATCTGTGTTGTGGTTAACAGTTGAGACAGCTAGAAGAAATTAGATGCTGCAGCAGGCCACCAAAAAGCTCATGTGCATCTACTCCATCAAGTGGGACCCTAACTAGTGATGGCCTTCCCTCGTCCGTTGATTTCTCCCCAAAGAGTCTAGAGAAGCATTGCCGTCCGATTAATCGTGTGGTCATGGAGACTGGAGTCAAGGGGACCCTCGTTGAGAGACTTGAGCATGTAGAATACCGTGTGTTGAAGGTAATCAATCACATCAAATGAAATTGTAACCGTTTGATTTTTTGATGATGGGGTAGTTTAATCTGATGGGTCTGATGTATTGTATCAGCTGTGTTTGCAGTTGGAAGCAGAGGTGGAAGCTGCGAAAATTAGAGAAGAAAAAGAGCAGAAAAGGAGTCATAAGAAGAAGGGCCTAAAGCAATTTGTTAAACTAATTATCAAAGGAAAACACAAAGATAAAGCAAGGATTAATTAATCACTTAATATAAATCTTCAATTTCGTTTTTTCTTTTTTCTTTTTTGTTTATTGTGTTTTTAGTTCTCAACTTTTCTTGGGAATTTTGTAAAGTTTGTATTTTGATAGATTGCGATAAGAACAAGAGTGAATGATAATTTCCCACTCATGGTTTATCGTAATTACCTTTTTTTTTTTCACCCATAAAACATAGGAAAACAAATAAATCTTCCACCTATCAATCCACGTTAATGGATTCGTTTAACTGATAGGGTAAAGCTATAAAATGATCATTTTTATTAGATATTTTTAATAGTATTTTTAAAATATCATAAGGCTGAATGGGTACTGGAATTTGAAAATTAAAAATTATTGATTAATTGAAAGTAGAATTTTGAGAATAGAGAAACAAATATGTATTTTAATTTAGAATAGGAAGTGGATAAAGAAACAAATACATTTTAGTTATTTAGAATAGTATTTTTGAAATATTATTGTTAGATAAAGTTAAGTGATTATTACAAACTAGTTTGATGGTTGTTTAGGATTTATTAAAAATATTTGAATAATTTGACGTAATATTTTGATAATAGAGAAATAACTGTTCATTTTGATTTAGAATATAATAGAATAATTTGAAGTAGCTTGGTGGTTCTCGAATTTCGTTTTTATTTTATTTTATGATATTTTTTTTGCGAGATCTGTTTTTCTATTTTAAAGTCGAGGAAATCGAGGGAAGCGACAGAGAATGTAGTTTTGATTTTGTTTTATTTTAGCTTAATTTTTAAATTTGTGTCTGACTTTGTTTTGATTTAAGTGGTTTCACTATTGTTTCTGTTTGTTTGCTGAGAAAAGTGAAGAAAGTGGATTT